TTCGCTTATTGAATGTTTATTCTACATTTTGAAAAGTCTACATTTGACAAAGTTTGGAACTACGAACCAGTTAAGTTTGCTAATTGTGACTAAAAATGGTGCGAAATTTGAAGACTTAGACATAGAAGGTTTGTTAGCAGTCAAAGAAAATTTTGACAGAAGGTTTTCAAACCTTAAAGAAGGCAAAGCATACAAACTTGTTATAACCTTATGAACCAAAGAAAGCAGACGACTATGAATATTATGAGTCTAAGATAGTTGAAGTTCAAGGTAAATTGGGTAAAAAGATTTTAGAGTCTAAGCCAGTGTTTGCTCCTAAGAGGAAGAGAACATTGACATTGACCCAGAAATGTTCTAAAAATAAATTTTTTTTACATGTCAAATTTCTTTTTCTCTGGAACTGGTTCAGGTTTCTTTTTTCTCTTCTTCTACTTTCTTTTTCTTTCTTTCTCTCTCTTTCTTCTTTCTTCTTTGGTGAGTTATGTCAATTTGGCGCAACCATATTATGTAAAAGTTCTTTGTCCTTTAATAGCTCTTCTATTCTGTTTCCTATTTCATCTTCAAGAACAGCGCATGTGTCTTCTTTGCATTCTAAGAACTTTTGTTGGACTTCATCTTCCAATCGGCGTCATCTCTGTCAACAAGTTGTTCATTGACAAATTTAAAGACTGCTCTGCTTAAGGTTTTATGGTTCTTGTCATATTCCCAGAAACAGAACTTTAGAACAAATTCCCTCTTTTCTTGTTTAACTATGTAAGATTTTATGGTCGACAGATGTTTGCTGTCGAAAAGCTTGTTCGAATATAGATAGCGAAATCGCTAGACATTTTCTAAAAGATAAAATTTTTAATTTTTTCTAAAAATATGTTAGAAAAAAAGTTTGCTGACATTGACAAGAAATTAGAAATGTTTTAAACAAGACAAGAGGAAGTTAGAAAATGCTCAGATAAAACCATACATGACAAGTTTTATTTGCTCAGAATGGTATATACAGGTCTAATTGCACCGCCTGGGTCGGTAAGACTTTACTTATCTTAAAATGGCTGCACAACAACAAGAACTAGATGAGAAGAACCTTTTTTATGAGTTAGTTGTCATTTGTCAGTACTTCGGGTCAATTTGACCAACCGTCAATTTCGTTCAAAAGATATATAAAAAAGTCTAAGTTAGTATGTATAAAGACTCTGAGTTTGATTGGATTGATAAAGAAGTACCAAAGAAAAGTTTTGAAGTACAATGCTATAATGCAGTATGTCAATTCGAAGTTTAAAAGACCCAAATGAGGAAATGCAGAGAATATTAGAGAAAGAAACACTTCAGAAACAACAGAAAGAGATAGAATACATTTCGAAGACATTGCAAATCTTACGATTGGAAGACTTACCTCACAGATGGCTTCTTATCTTAGATGACTCTTTGCTTCTCATCCTTTGTTAAAGAGAACAGAGAACAAGACATGTGGTCGAATTCTCAAGAAGCTCAGACACTTAACATCTCAGTTGTCATTTGTTGTACAGACAGAAAGAGTTTTAAGTAAGGTGTTTAAAAGAATACTTACTGATATCTACTTTTCCCTGGATTGTCCGAAGACGATTTTCCATGGAACTTATGAAGAGAGTCCATGGCAGGTAAGTTTGACAGACATGAACTATGGGAGAAGACAAAGTCATACAAGACCCTCATACTTCTTCAGAATTCACATACTATCGAACAAAGTTCTAAAATTGATAAAAGTCAAGCTTTGAAAAAATAAGAGATCTCTACCCATACTTGTTTTAAGATTGTCAAAATACTCTCTATTTTTTACGATTTTCATGAGTTTTGGCTACCTCCTGTAAAAGTCGGTCTAGAGAAATTTCATGAAATTTGGTCATTTTTTCAGCAAAATATATTTTAGGTAGAAGGGTATTCTACCCCGGTTTTTCTACCTCATTTCTACCCCAGTTATTTCTATAAACGTTTCACATGGTAAACGTTATTTTTTAAATTTTGTGAAAACTCACGGTTTGACACAAGCCTAAAATATATTTTACTCAGTATTTTACTTCAGATAATAATAAAATATTTAGGGTAGATGGTTAGATCTAACCTGTTTTCTAACCTCTTTTCTACCCCAAGTTATTTTATAAGCGTTTTACATGGTAAACATTGTGAATTCCTGTGAAATTCTAAACAAATTTGTGTGGCTTCGATTCTTCACGAAGGATATGGAATGTTTTAACAATGCCGAAAGTTTCTTTATACTTCTTCTTGACGTCAGATAGAAGGAAATCTTCTGCTGTGGATAGTTTTTGTTCAGAAATGTCAACATGTCCATTTTATTCTTCTGCTGTTTTCTCTACTTCTTTCTTTAGTCAGCATAGTCGTTCTCATTACGTTCTATCTCTTTACGGAAGTAGTTTATATTCCTCATTGCTGCTTTACATTTAGAACATTGTGCGGTTCATTTTTGCGTTATATCTGAAACCCATTACCTGCTAGTATGACTAAGGCGTCAATTGCTCTCTTTAACGTCAAAAGTTTGCCGGGTTTTATTCTGTTCATTCCTATCTTTACCTCTTCTATCTTTATCTCTTATCTGCCATACACATTTTGCAACCTAACGAAAACAAAGTTGTCGTAGGTCTTAAACTCCCAGATTTATATATGTCAGAGATGTTCTTAATATCATATCGCAAATCTTTTGTCCATGACTTTGTGGTTGCAATGAAATCAGAAACTCATAGTTTACCTTTCGTCATGAACTTCTTTTATTCTTACTGAGTCAGTTGCTTTGACTTCTATTTCATCGAATTCTGGAATAGTGGATTTTTGTTGTTGGATTTCAGGAAGTTTAGGTAAGATGGTCAATAATATCCTGCATTTCATAAAGATATTCTTCATCTGTTCATCTTTTTTGCACTACAGTTTAGATCTCGCTTGGAGAAGTTCCTGCTTTATCTTTCTGGATTTCTTTTTCGAAAGTATATGAAGAAGGAATGAAGCTTTTTCATCTCTACTAACTATGAGAGTTGGGTTCATGACTAACGAGTTTGGGCTGTTGTTTGCTAACATGTTCTTACAATAAAATAAAAAAATATTTTTTTAAAAAAACCAACTTTATTTTTTATTTCGGGAAAACTCAAACAAATTCAAGAGGGTAGAAAACGGGGTAGAAAGAGGTTAGATCTAACCATCTACCTAAAATATATTTTTTGCCGAATTCTGTATAAAACTCATGACAAATTCAAGAGGTAGAAAACGGGGTAGAAAAGAGGTTAGATTCTAACCATCTACCCTAAAATATATTTTTGGGTGTAAAATTCAAATTGTAAAAAAGTCAAGCTTGAAAAATCTAAGTGTTTAGTCTTAAGTAAGATGGTAGCTTCTTAAAGCATATGCCGTCCTTGATTTTTATGTACGTGAAGAGAAGTACAATGAATTCAATTACGAGTACAATTGCAATGACAACTAAGGCAACTTTTTTGTCTTTTGCCAGCAAGGTACTTCTTTTCTTCCAATGGGTTCGGGAAACTATACTCACTCATGAGAAATGCCAAAACGTTTAAGTAGAAAAATGTCATTTTTTTCATGTCCGAAGACTCGAAGGTGCAACACTTCCAAAATAACCGACGAACTCAGAAGAGCACATGGCAGTATCTTTCTTGACAACTTCTTTGAGTTCTCCAGGAACACCTTGGAAAATGCTGAAGAATCCGACACAGAGAAATTTGGAGAATTGCACTCCAATACTACATTGACAAAAAGGGTAAACAAGGTAAAATAAGACTAAAAACTTAACGTTTAAAAAGTGAATATTTTAATGAGCTCCGAGTCACCGAGAAAACTTGGTCATGTTACAGCTTACTTCCCTGATAGGAAGATGAAGCGTTACTAACGTAAGGTTTCAAAACAAACGAACCTGGAATTGCGTACCAAATTCGCAATTACATGACCATGGAAGAGTACGAAAGGCCTACAAGAGAAACCAGCTCTAACAACTTCAGAAAGAAAGAGAAAAAGTTTAAACTCTAATTGTTTATTTTTTTTACTTGTAATGGGCAGCTTGCAAGATGAAGTCAACTATCTCCGTCTTTGTCTTGACCAGTTTGGACTGCTCTTGCGAGTACGTCGTGTTTTGCGGTCTCCAGCTGGTGTCTGACCTTCGTAATTGCGCATGTTCTTGAGAGCTCAACTGTAAATGATTGTAGATGAAGATCTCTCAGACTGCTTGAGTAGTCTTCACGGTCACGAACCGATCTGTGGTACGAGTCGAATCGGTCGATTTGAGGGAAGAGACTGAAAGTCTGTCATCTTCATAGGGGCTGTGGCATACTCTTTGCGTAAACGGTTCAGACCTTCCTCGAACTCTTGGTCTCTCTTGGATTGAGATTGGAAATTGGAATGGGGTGGAGGGTTTGACATGAACATCAAGGGTTAGGGCAGTAAGGCATAGGCTGAGGAGGGTAGTTCGGGAAGCCTTGTGGTGGGTAGTAACATTGAGGTGGAATATTGGTAAGTAATTTGGTGGAGGTACTTGCTGAACTGAGGGTTGCTGAGTCAGCGGCTGGTTGCTTTTAGGTTCTTCTGGCTTGGGAATGGGCTCGGTTGGTGGTACGTCGGACATTGTCTTGAAATAATAAAAGACTTGTCTTGAAAAAGTAAAAGACTTGTCTTGAAAAAGTAAAAGACTTGTCTTGAAAAAGTAAAAGACTTGTCTTGAAAAAGTAAAAGACTTGTCTTGAAAAAGTAAAAGACTTGTCTTGAAAAAGTAAAAGACTTGTCTTGAAAAAGTACGGGTATCGTCTTCAAGCAAGACCACTGTTCTCAAATTTGAGAACTTTACACCAAAAATTTCTTGAAAAATAACGGGTCTTGTCTTGAAAAAGTAAAAGACTTGTCTTGAAAAAGTAAAAGACTTGTCTTGAAAAAGTAAAAGACTTGTCTTGAAAAAAGTAAAAGACTTGTCTTGAAAAAGTAAAAGACTTGTCTTGAAACAATAAAAGACTTGTCTTGAAACAATGACCGATCTTGAAACAATGACCGATCTTGAAACAATGACCGACATAGACCCAGCAGATGAGGCAATCTACCTTATAGAGATAAATGAGCTAGTTAGGAACTACCTGAGCCATCTGAAGTCAAACAAGACCATTGCAGGCTGGGTGTCTGGAAGAAGTGCGCTTAAAATTGAAATTGACACCGGAATTGTCCTGCAAATACCAAAAAACACTCCTGTAGACGACATAAAAGAGATGAAGAAAGAAACCCTCTTGAAGTTCTTTGCAAAGCGTCCGTGGATACAACTTCCAAACAGAGAGAACCCAACTGTACGAATTGCCCAAATTCTCAGAGGACTCTTACGCTTCTCGGGTCAGGCGTTCTTCATAAACACAGAAGGCGACATCGTACCTTTACAGTAAACATCTATATGGCACGCTTTGAGTAAAAACATTTTTTTCATTTTTTGAATGAAGCAAGTTAAATTCGTCCCACACCAATCTCAATGGACCGATGAAGAGTTTCAAGCCATAATTGAAGACGTTGAGAACGACATAGACGGCGAACTTGAAGGAGCTCAAATCACAATTGCAACCAAAATTGCAGAAGTCAAGGAACAGATAGCTCCACTTAAAGCTACCAAAGCTACTCTTGACCTCATGGATAGTTACCGTTTAGATGTCAAGAGTGGAATAAGACATTAAAATTAAAACTTCTAAACTACGAAGCTATACTCCAAAAGTTAGCAGAAATGAGAAGACTTTACCAGAGCTACTTACATGTAAGGGACTTACCTTCAAGCAATCCGACCAAAGATGAATTTTCTGACATTGTCCCAATTTTGTCCGAAAGTCAGCTCAGATGTTTCGAACTGCTCCCAACATATCCAGAATATGAACGTTTGCCTGAACTCTTCCGCAATCTCAAAAAACGTTTTTTGGTTCTCATGTTCGAAACTTTTATCGGAAGAGACAACAAACGTTCAGAAGAAGAACAAGATATTATTTTAAACTTGTTGTATGACTTAACCGTCATAACAAGCTTTTTGAAGTAAAACCGTCATTCTCAAACCACTTCATTTTTTCGATGTCCGAACAAGCACCGAAGCCGAACACAATAGCAGATGTCCTTTCAAGGTTGCCAGACAAGCGCCCAGTTCAAATTCAAATTATGCAATTTGAAAGCTCATCTGACAAACACCGTTAAGACTCTCCAAAGTAGTCTTATGGAAGAGATGAAGGGACTTAAAGGTGAGTTCCTCATGAACCAAGCTTCCAATGAGAAAGTCCTGAACGATTTCACGGAAACCTTGCACATTTACGCGAGAGAGAACCGAGACCTTGCCAGACTCATCTACCGTTTCTTCGAAGAGATAGACGCCATCTGGAAGGTACTCGGAAAGGACAGAACATGCAACACCGTACTTCGTGAGTACCAAATTGAAGAAGGTATTATCAAAGAAGAGGAAGAAGAGGAAGAAGAGGAAGAAGAGAAACACGAAGAAGAGGAAGTTTGGGCAACCCTTGTTGCCGATGACGCTTACGAAATTTCCCAACCCTACCCATACAAAATCCGCAACAAGGCGACAGGCAAGGTTCTTACCCCAGTCCTCAACAACTTGGGACACTTGACCCTTACCCTTCGAAATTACGGTACAATTTCCATGGGAAGGCTTGTCGGTATGCAATGGGTTCCAAATCCAAACAAGAAGACGAAGGTCAGACACATTGACGGTGACAAGCTCAACAACCGTAAGGAGAACCTCGAGTGGTTCTAAGAGTAAAAAAATTTTATTTTAGGGGGAAACCCCAAGTAAATTTAAGTTTTTAGTTGCGTAAGCGGCTTAAATTAATGGTCATTTGCAAAATTAGTTCTGACCTCTGAATTGAACTCTTTCGTCATCCCAGTTGCGTAGGAGGTCGTCCCAGAGGAGTTGGTAGAATTGCCAATCCAAGGACGATTTGTCCTCCCAGGCATTGAGGATGTACTGCTCGTAGAGTCTCATGACCTCTGCCTTGCACCAGACACCCTCTCCCTTGGAACGTAAGGCTTCTTCGAAGTGCTCGAATGCGATTGGCTGCGGGACCATCCGAAATGACACTTTTTGTCCGTTTGGTCAATGTTCGTGTCTCGTGCCATAGTCGACGAAAATACAGACAAACAGGTTATATATGAGTTTGAGACCAAGAATGGTGTAACTCGACCTGTCCGATTCAAAGACTCCGAGGGCGACCATGAAATTAAACGGAAATTAGCTAGGAAGGAATATAAAAATTTTTTATTTCATGCAATGTTTTATTTCTGTGCCGTCTTCTTTAACACCCCAATATTTCCTTTTCGATATTACATGAACTTCGGTGAAAATTTTGTCCAATTTGAATTGACCCATCTTCTCACCGACCATACCCATTTCAATGAGTTTGTTATAGCCTTCTTCGTTCGTCATGAGTGCGTCGATGTTCTCATAGTAAACCTTGACTTTGGATTTGACTTCGGAGAAGAATTTGTTGTACTCGTCAAGGACTGCTTTTGCGAACTGAGGGTAAGACCAATGTTCGACAATAGGTTTTAATGTGGTTACTAAGCCACTTTCACCTTCGGTAAATTCGTATTTCAAAACAAAAGGAGAAAACCTTTCAACAAAGTTGTCGACCTTCTCATAATGTTTACTCTTCATCTCTTGAGGTTTTTTAATGGAATACCCCCATGTCGAATTCATAAGCAATTTTAATGTCATTGCAAGTTTGGGGTTTGAAGCTTTCCTAATATCATACAGTTGTTGTATGACTTTTCCAACTGTATAGTTCCTTCCTGGGAACTCACCATCTTCGTTTGGAATTCCAGTCGGGATATATTGGACGAACCTCATGTATGCAGCGTTAAGGTCGACATAGTATATTTTTTCATCTGAGTCGAACTTGTCGCATCCAATCGGACCAGTTTTGGAAATTCAAGTGAGTCTCTTATCTTCTGAGAAACTTCTCCTGTTATCTCATAAACATCGTCGAAGCAACCTGTTTCATATAAAACCTTCTGACCTAACTCAGATGCTCTCCAATACAATTTGACGTCAATTGGATGTCTCAATGGAAGTTTGTTTATAGCATCTTGAAGTTCTTGCAACCTCATTGGAAGTTCTTCTGGTTCAGGTTGGTATCCGAACAATCCAACTCCTTTTGGAACTGTGTACTTCTTTTGTACTAGAACTTTGTCTGGAACAACTTTTGGTCTTGCTAACAGTGAAAAGTTTGTTTCGTCTTTTGGTACAAAACTTTCTGTCAGCTTGTCATCTGGAATCGGTTCCAACAAACCTTTCTCGAAAAGAATGTTAACAGCTCTGACAATGTTGCACTTGCCTTTTCCGAACAATGGGTTTGTAAGACTTTCGTTCAACATGAAGTGGTTGTGGAAAATTACAATCTTCAACCATGGTAAGTCTTTGTCAACAACAAAGTCGTCATGTGAAGAACCTTTCTCAGTCGGAATGTTGACTCGGATATTGACATTTGCCAACGGTGCAATTTTTGCCAATTGACCTCTGAGAATGTACCTTGTCTTCACACATGACTCAAGATACTTCATCTTCTCTTCTGAAACAAGACCAGAGTTCCTGAGACATGTAAGAATACAAGGTTCATTGACAATTGTTTCAATTGAATTGTAAATTCCATACCTTGTCAAGTCAATGTCAGACTTATTTATGAACGGGAAGTATCCAGCATGTTGTCTGACTGCTTGAGGGTTAGGTTGATACCATTCGAACTTCACGCTTGCAATTCCTTCAATTGCATTCAAAATGTCTGAGTCGGAGTCAACCATTTGTTCTCTCTTTGTAGTCTTGAAAGCGTCAAGAAGTTTGCAGCTGTTTGTTCATTGCCATTGCATAGTAAATGTGACCATCCAAATCTGTTACGGTCAATCTGAGATTGTATCCTTTCTTATTTCCGTCTTGAATTGCAGCAAGTACACCCATGAAGCCTTCTTTGTTCTTTCCTTCGTCAAAGTTTACTGTAAAGGTTCGACCAGATGTAATTTGACTTCTAACTTCACGATACTTTTCATATGCATATCTTGTTCTTTCCATGGGAGCATGTGCGTCTTCACCTTTTCCTTTTTTCCTTCTCAAAGGATGCAATTGTTCGTCATGTTTCCAGTAGAATCTGGCAAAGCCGTCGTGTCCTTCAACTTGAGGTTCACTAACATCGAAAGGCATGTCATAAGACGTTCTTCTTCTAACCTCTCTAGTCTGTTTGGATAATTTGCACGTGCTGTTTCTAGTCCATTTCGTAGCGAAGACCAGCAGTTTGTCATAGACTTTTATGGGTCTTCCCTTCCTATATTTAAACTTCTTCGAAACTCTCCAACCATATCTTTGCAACTCTGCTTTTATTCTAGCAGATTTTCTATCCATTCTATATGGGGGCATTTTTATAAAAAAAAAAAAATATTTTTTTCTTTACTTACATAACCACCGCTGCCATAAGTCTTTGACGCCAACCCATACCAGCTAATGAAGGTTGACTTGGTTTAGTTGAAACTAAACTTTGGTTTTGGTTTATCTTCAGTTTTTGGTTTTTCTTCTTCTATCGGTTTTTCGTCACTTTTCGGTTCCTCTGACTTTACCCACTGCAGGAACAGTTGTGTCGTCAACATCTTCATAAATATCATATGCCATCTGTTTTTGTTTTCCTTTCAACTTTTTGTGTTTGTTGTAAAGTTTAGAATATTTCGACTCTAAGTCAATGAGATGTTCTATAATGAACTGTTGGTCAGTGAAGTAAACTTTTCCATCTGTTGTCTCGAAAGCTCCTTCAGACTTCAATATTTTATTTGTGAGAGTCTGTTTCTTTTTTGAGATACTAGCCGTTCCATTTCTATGAAAAGTGACTTTGTAGTTAGGGTTTGTATTTCCAGACCTGGCACTTTCTATTATTGAATTTTTTTCTTCATCTGTAAGTTCTTTGACAGGTTTTGACAATGGTTCTGAACTTTTTGTTTGTGGTGTCAAATCTACCGTTTCAACTTCTTCGGTCATTTCATCTCAGTAAAAAATTTTAGTTTGGTTTGTTTTCAACTGGTTGTTGTTGTTTTTTAAGTCGGTCTAAAACTTCCTGAGGTATAGGAAGAACTTGACAAACACGTGGTGTGTAACTGCTGGAAGCCGACAAATCCATCTTGAACCCATTTGTCTCAATGCTGTATTGTTCATTTCATCTCAGTAAAAAAATTTACATTCCCCACGTTTGAGGCGGTTGCGGTTGGTTGTTGTTTACCCACTGTTGTGCATGGTTATATCCTCTGTTAAAGAATCTTTCACCTTGGTCCATATAGTGCCCTGCTTGGTTATAGTAGTCATTTGCTTTGTTATAGTAGTTTCCTGCTTGTCTTCCTACATTGTCCATCCATCCTTGAACTTTTCCTC